GGTACCTTACAAAGACAACGGTCATCTTACACGAGCACAAAGAAACTTCAATCAGAAGTTAAGTTCTTGTCGTGTCATCATCAAAAATGCATTTGGTTGCTTAAAACAACGATTCCGTCAACTGTACCATTTAAAATTGAGAAATATGATTCGAATTGTTCAAGTCATCCACGCATGCTGTGTGCTGCATAATATAGCAAACGAAAACGATTTGAGACTATTCGAAGATCCAATTGCAGATGATTATCCTGATGACGAAGCAAGACATTTTCCAATTAACGACAACATTGAAATAGAAGATAATTGTGAAGGACGATATCTTAGAAAATGAAATATGCCGTCAACTAGCTATGCGATAAATATATACAAAAGACAACAATATACAATAAGAAAATGTGTATTAATCTTGTATATTCATGTATTTTATAATCATGTACTTTAATATAAAAATAAGATTTATTACAATAAAATATTATACTTTTAACATTTTTATCACATTTTTGTAACTAAAAATAAAAGAAAATCATATATTTTAATGTGAATATAAAATTCATCACAACCACAATACTTATTACTAGACATGAGACTTAGAGTAAATTTTTGTCAAATTGCTTGTTACATTCTTTTAACTTCTGCTAAATAAAAAAAATCTTTTGCTAAATAAAAAAAATCGTTTGCTAAATAAAAAAATCTTGCTAAATACAAAATATTTTGAATGTAACATTATTTTGAATGTAACATTATTTTGAATGTAACATTATTTTATGTAACTTTATAACTTTTAATGTTTATGAACTTCATTGCGTTTGCAAGTTAAAATCACAGTCGTAATAAAATTAAAAAATCATATAAAGTATGATAACATGTGTTTCTTTCACTTTTCATCTAAGTTTTCATTTTTTTTATCAAACATTTTAATCAAATGTTCTACTAACACGTTTTTGCGTTCTCGAAGATTATTTGCGACTTCACGCTGTTCAAGAGTTTTTTTCATATAATCACGAAAGTCTTTGCAGAAATCTTCCTTTTTTAATGTCTCTTCCCGTCGGTCAGCTGCTAAATCTTGTAGAGTTTTTTGGCATGAAGCTACTAATTTTGCTGTGCTTCCTGTTTTTTGTTTTCTGTAATATATAAAGCATAATTAAAAATTGTTTTTCACACTATAGTAATTTCAAAAGTATTGTAACAAAATATTGTACGTTATCAAAAGAAATTTTAAATATTTTAGCACTTAAAAACAAAAGTTTAACTCAACTGGACTGTTTTACATGAGGAAGAGGCATTGCTAGAACAAGACAAATCGTCGACCAGATAATGTTCGTCAACTATCGGATTTTCATTAGTCACTGCTACGTCATCCGTCACTTTCTTGTATGCTAATGACTGCAGTCTATATATAAAAAATGAAATCATTAATACAATTAATAATTAATTGGAAATTCATCAATTCAATTTAGAAATAATTTTATTCTTCAGTAGAAAGGTACTGCAATACTTACGGATGGAGTATTGATTGCGGTGCACTTACACCAGTAGTTAGATCTATTGTGTTCGTGCGAATTCTTAAACCATCATTTGAAGAAGTCACGAGAGGTAAGATATTGTGTTTATTTCCCACAGTATTTCGGATAGTTCACTGTTAATAAAATGTCAATATTAGATAAAGTATTAGGTCAAGTATTATGTCAGTATTAGGTCAAGTATTAAATTATATAATACTACTCACTTTTAAAAGAACTTCCCAGGGAGAAATGATAATCGAAAAGACGTCGAATTGATGTCAAATAGATATCTTTGACATTTTGATTCTACATCAATTCGATATCTTTCCAATCATTATTTTCCCCTGAGTTCAAAACTACTGACTATGTACCTTTCGTAACTACATGTTGCCCGTCCTCTTCCTGTTTTTTTATTGTTTGACACCATATTCTTATATGCTCGTTCCATCGTCTTAAATTTGTTTTCAACTTGTAGCGGAGATACATTATATCCAGACTTTGTCATTGTATTAGCGATATGAATCCACATTGCTTTTAATGTTTTCAACTTCCTGGACGAAACAAGTTTTCTATTTTCTTGATATAAAGATAAAAAATATCTGGTAGATTCATCATTCCATGAAAATGAAGAATCAGTATCATGATTCTTTTTAATTATGGCAGATTCATTTGTTGTTGCTGAAGTGGATGATTCATCAGTAGTGTCAATATTTGAGGCATTGTTTGCTTTATCATTTAAATTATCTAATTCAATCTGATACAACTCGTCCTCAACTGGGCAGATCATTGCATTAGTGTCCAATAATAATGAATTCTTAGAAATAAACTTCAATCCATCTAAACAATTTAAATATACCAAAAAATGTAAAGCAATTATTATAAATACTGAAACACACAATTATTTCATTTGTCACAATAAAAAAATAATAAAATTGAATAATAATAAAATAAAAATCTTGATTTGAAAAATAAAGTACCAGTTTTAATAATAATTAAAATTGCAATTAAATTAGCCATATTGAATAATTTGTATTGAATAATATATATTCCCACCTTTGGATGTGCAGAGAATATTATTGTCACCGTCGACAATAAAATTTCCTTTGGAATCTTGAGCAATGTTTGCAAATTTTACTTGCAAATTTTCTTTTTGCATAGTGAACAGCTAAAATATGAAACAGAAAATATTATTAAAAATGTTATTAATGATCTCATGTTATGAATATCTCTTAACATCATAAAAGCATTCATTTTAATAATGTAATACATTAGCTATTTTATAAAGGTTTATTACCGGTAAATATTTCTTCAGAATTATGTTCAGGTCTCGTTGGTGTTAATCATATGTAGGTTATATTTCGCGGGAATCGTAGGTATACACTTTTCACACCTCCTCAAGACCAAGTGTAAAAAGTATAGGGAAATCGCCACTATAGTGTAGCTACACTCGCAAAACAAACAGCGTACTCTGACGTCACTTCTTCTAAAAGAAACGTGATAGTGTACACTTTCTACAAAAGTGGAGAAAGTGTAGGTAAAACGAACAAATCTAGTTATTAAATCTTTACCTCGTTTTATCAGCCTATTCAACTTTTTTGGCAAACTATAAACGACATTTATGTTAGCATTTTTAAGTGACCTTTTAATACTGTCGCTAACATCCTTAACGTATGGGAGTGGAATTACATAATTCTTATCTTGAGCCGAATTCACATTAACGTTATTATCTAAATTATTACTCAAACTGTCGTTATTATCCGCATTGTGACCGTTAACATTCCTGTTGTTATTCAGTACATTAATTCTTTTATTTACATACTTATTAATAATATGACCCGGAAAACAATTATTAATTAAAATGTTCTTTACAATCTCAATATTCGTATTATGAAATTGTTCGTTAGAAAGTAAAATTGCATGGTCTACTAAATTGTAAATCGTATTAATTTTGTACTTAATAGGATGACTCGAAAGAAAATTGATGTATCTGCCAGAACATGTAGGTTTCCTAAACCAATTAGTTGTCAATTTATTCCCATTGCGGATAACTGTAGAATTTAAAAAATTAATAGAAGAATTGGTCTCTCTTTCATGTGTAAATTTTAAACGTTCATGATAATTATTAAATGTACTTAAAATTTCATTTATTTTAGAGCAAAATTTGTTTACAAAATTTATATTTATTTTATTAATTTAACACTTAAATGAGTTCTCGTATGTTAAAAACTATTGTGTAATATTATGTTGTAGAAATTTCACTTGAAAAGGACCACAACCAAATGGTCGAAACGTCGTGAAATAATTAAATAAAATTTGCTAGTTACGTCGAAGTCAAGTTTTCCAAGAATATTTGTTAATTTATCGAATATATTAAATTCTTAATATAAAAAATTACCATGTAAAATGTGAAGTATAAAAAAGAAGATAAAGTGATAACATTTCCTTCGCTTGCAGAAGAAAGAAGAGTATTTGTACTGTAAATTTCGAGCAGAATTTCTTCTAACATATTTGTACTTATATACGCACTTCTCTGCTAATTACAAATCTATTATCAAATTAGAAAGAATTATTATCAGAAATGAAAATACGAGCGTTAATAAAATATAAGTTTAGTAAACTGCGTCACTTGTCTGTAAGTAAAATGTTCCTTTGTTCTAGAATTTCTCATTTTTTATCCAAATGTGTCGAATAATAATAAAATTAAATTATACATTTTTTTATTTGTTATTACTTTATTAAGTGAGTTATTACTTAAATATAATAGCAAATAAAAAAATTTAATATAAATACATATAATTCTATAATATAATTTATATATATAAATTATATTTTGCAAATATAGTAATGATTATAAAGCAATAACAAATAAAAAAATATAAATATACATACATATATTTCAAATATATATTTACATACATATTTTTTCATGTGGAAATGTTAAAACCGATTGCGTTGTGAAATTAATAGAATTATGTTATAAAAAAATTTATTAGGAAAATATATTTTTGCAACCTGAGGATTGGAGAACACAAAAAAAAAAAAGCATATCATGTTTCGAATAAATGTGAAATTGGCCGTTCAAACCCTTAAGAAAAAAGTCAGTGTAGTTTTAAATTTTGCGAGCACTATATACGTTTCTGAGCAATTTTTATGTAAAAAACAATCCATATAGCCAATAAATAGATTTATAGTTTATCTAACATCACATTTTGACGATAAAACAGAAAAAAAACAACAGACTTCTCAAAGGCGTTCAGAATCTCCTTAAGCCACAATTATATTTTCATAGTAAAACGCCTGTAACATATGCTACACCGCCAGACAAGACTGCGCGCGAAAGCACTCGCGGAAAACCGTCCGTAAAGTCGTGCACTTGTTCGTGCTTTCGCCGCTACGCGGCGTCTTTTCTCGCAGTTAGAATTCCGCTGAGTGAGGATATAAGGCCACGCGTTGCATTGCCGAAACATATTTGTGAATATATATGTATACATATGTACGACCAATGAGTGCCATTAAATTATTATTGGACACTATGTTATTAGCGCAGAATTTTATTGTAAGATCACTTGGAGAAATTTTTGGTCAGCAAATATGTTGGAAAACAACTGTGACTTTTCGAAAGTAAAGATTTTAGCTAACTCTTTTGAAATTTAAACTCTCATTTTTTGAAATAAAGGACGGTATTCCATAGTCCGTTCTTATATTTAAGACTGTCTTAAGCACAAAGTCTTTTAAGATGCCTTTCTCTTCTTAAGCATATCTACAAAACTAGTCAGATTCATAATCAAATCTTGATGGCCTTATTTGAATCAAATAAGATCGTGTTTATTAGAAAGTAAGTTTGTTTTCAAGTCAGTCGTACATGACTTTAAGGTAAGCTTATGATTAAGGGTATGTTCCAAAATTCAGTGCCGTGAGCGTGACGTCATAAAAGTATGCTATCAACAGCGTTTCATTTTTGTGAGCGTGCTGTAAATGCGTATACGATGTCTAAAATGGAACATTACTTTCAGTGCTGGCAGTGAACACAAAAGTAAACAACAGATTAACCTATAAAATAGAGAGAAATGATCAGAAAATATTTTTGATTGCAACATATATAAATTTAATAGCTGAATCTGATGAATCATCAAACGATGATTCAGATTCGGCAAAGTATTAAAATTAGTGAAAAATAATGTAAAACGTGTACCTAAAGTACGGTGCCAAAATTATGTTGAAAATGTAGTGTGGCATTATACTGGCAATGCTTTTAAAAGCCATTTTTCGGTAAGTTATTTATTTAATAAAAATAAATTATTATTAATTGCTTGTTATTATTAATTTATGCAATAAACAATAGATAAAATATTTTTACTATGTTTTTTATTAATTAATAATAACAAATAATAATTCATAATAAACTATATAACGTTTAATTTAAATAGAAAATGTTATATTTTAATGTTTTTCCATAGCCTTAGTCGACCAACATTTATTTTTTATTGGAGCTGTTAACTCCGCAATTATTGAAACAGTCTGAAGAATGTGGGAGGCATACTATTCCACCAGAGAAGACATTACTCTTGGCAATATGGATGATGGCAACTCCCAATTCGTATAGGTAAGTTTTATTGAATGACATTAGCATTTAATTTATAACATTTATAATTTATATTAATATTTAGCATTTATTTATTAACTCTATAGATGTGTTGCTGATCGATTCAATGTCGGAAAAGCAACGGCTTGGAGATGTGTTTACAAAGTTGTGAATGCATTATATTCACATTTTCATACATTCATTACATGGCCAGACAGAGCAAGAGCAGAAAATATTTGGACACATGTTAAAAACAAATACAAATTTCCAAAAGTGATAGGAGCGATAGACGGTACTCATATAAAAATTGCAGCACCGAAATTACATCCAGAAGCTTACATAAATAGAAAAGGCTATCACTCTATACAGACACAAGTATTTTTGTAAAAATGTTAAATTATATTTTTTTATGAATAAAAATTCTGCAGACATATGTAATAATAATATTATTTCCTCTTTTTTTAGATAATATGTGATAATGAATTAAAAATCACTCATGTTTATGCAGGACAAGTAGGGTCAGTGCATGACATGAGAGTTTTTAGATTATCTGGCTTTGAAGACATGTGTACCGCAGAAAACTTCCCAGAGAATAGCCATTTATTAGGTGATGCCGCATATGGCATCCAAAAATATATAATAGTTCCGTTTAAAGATAATGGACATTTAACAGATGCACAAGTAAAATATAATACTTGTTTGTCTGAAGCGAGAATGATGGTAGAAAGAACAATAGGCTTGTTAAAAGGAAGATTTCGAAGTCTTTTGGATATATTACCTATGAGAAGAACTGATTTGATACCTAAATATATTTGTGCTTGTTGTGTTTTACATAATATTTGCTTAATACGAAATGATTACATTGATGATATTCCAATTATTGTACAGCCAAATGAACCTGTACAATATGAAATCGAAAATATACCTCAAATTATACGAGAAGAAGGTATTGAGAAACGTAACGCTATTGTATATCATTTGCAAAATGAAAATTATTTTGAATAAAGTTGTATGAAGTTATAAAACATTTTTTTTCTTATATTATCTTTATATTTTTAGATCCCTATACCATATAATATACAATTAAAAAATAGATAAGATTATGTATATATTTACACACACATGCATACAATCATAAGGAAGCTGAGTAAAAAGCTTTTGCACAATAAAAAATAACAGGAACAAGGAATAACATAGGAAAGCAAGAGAGTACTTTCCTACGTTCTTTCCGTGATCCTATTTCTATTACTTTTAAATAATACTAGAGCTTTTACAATACATATACTATAGATAAATGCACGCATAAATACTTTACGGGATCTATCCACATACAAAATTAATTTACATACACAATTTAATTTGTATGTACAATAAACTTTATTAAAGAAACTATCACAATTTTTCTTACATTATTTAAAATAAAATTAAACTCATCATAATTTTATATTAAAGTGACATAACAGTCTTATATGCACATAACAGTCTTATATATTTTAAGAATACATAACAGTCTTATATATTTTTATAAGAACCAATAAAATATTAATTATATAAAAGTTATTACTTTTTAAGTATTTTTGTTATTAAATTTTCAATACTTGTTAGACGAGTCATTTTTTCTTCATGTCTTTTTTTAGCATTTATCTCTTTTTCTGCTTTCATTTCTAAAGATTTTTCTAAATAATCTTCTACTGCGTTTTGAATTTTTCGTTTCTTTGGCACTGCAAATAAAAAAATAATTAAGAAATTAATAAATAGAAAAAATTAAAAAATGCATGTACTACAAAATATTTTAATAGAAAATATAAAACAAAAATGTATATATAAGTGCAAATATTTTATTTATTATTTTTCTTTATATATTTTAAATGTAATGTAATTATGTGTTTACCTGATTTTATTGCGTCATTGTTCTCTGTATTATTTGTAGTATCATTAATATTAGCAGAAGTATTAACGCTACTTCCAGCTGTTGCTATTGGTTCAACCCAAGGTTTTGTTCCAAATATCTCATGCATAACCTATATCAGAAAAATTATTTTTAATTAATTTAATTATCTGTACAATTATAAAAATTTCAAAAAAGATGAAAAAGAAAAATATTGCTTTTTAATAAGAAAAGTTACATTTGGACACAATGTGATTAAACACATTCACTATAGATAAAAGAATGTCTAGAATAATCAGTATGATTTATGAATTAAAGTTAAAAATTATATATAAATTGATATAAATTATAAATAGTACTTCTAATTAGTAATACCTCATAATATTCCCATTTCCTCCTATTATTTCCTGATTTTTTATTATGATCAGTAACAAATTTATATGTTCTTTTTAAACACTGGAATTTAGTAGTACATTTAATTCCAGATATATGATATCCTGCATCTTTCATTTTCTTGGAAATATTATTCCAACACTGTTTTGCAAACATCTTAGGATTATTGAACATTTCTTCGTGTTCTTTATATAAAGTAATAAGTAACAGTGTTTCAGCACGAGTTCATATATGTTGATCTAAACAGAATAATGTTGTTTTCTTGAAAAAATATTTATTTTAACTTTTACTTATATTTACTTTTACTACTACCTTTCGTATCTGAAGTTTCACTCATATCTAAATTACTTGCAGTGCTGCAATTAGTTGTGTCATCTGTAAACATGTATATCTTTTATACATCAGACAATCTTATGAATGCGATATCACAAATGGAACATTATTATTGTTATTAAATTAAGTATTAAAATAAACCTGTTTCTGAATCTATAATATCTTTTATTTCTCCAGCTGCATATTTTTTTGCTTGTTGCAATAGAGAGTATATATGCAAATATATGATCTGTAAAAAATTACAAATAAAATTATAATTGCATTATAATTAATAATAATAAGTTTGAACACTTATAGTCTGAATCAAATTTTGATCAAATATTATAGGTTATGTAATTTTTCTATTCTGAATTTCTGAAATAAAAACAATTCTACAAAAACTTAAAATTCACCTCTTTTTGTTCTCGCAGCATCTTCCTTTGACACTGTAATTTTGTATTCTTTGTTGTTTTCTGCATCGATTAATGTCAGTTCTTCCATGATCTTCGCCAGTTAGAAAGATATCTTTATTACGTAATTTACGTCATCTGCTTCACCTCTCTGACCGCAGTAACTGCAGCAGGAAGTGACGACAGAATTAATGATGTCATTGCTCTCTAATAGTACTGCCGCAGTATGCTGCCATGAATTTTGGAACGCAATTTGTAGCACTGGCAGTGCTGGCAGTGAATTTTGGAACATACCCTAAATATTATGGAATTAATGGAAGAAATTGATGATATTGAAAATATTGATTGATCGTGATTTTCAAGTAGAGAACGTGTACGAAAACGATACATTCGTGATAGACTTTAAAACCCTTTTATAATAATTTACAATTAAAAGACGCTATAGATTAATAAGGATTCCTCCTATATGGAATATTAACAAAAATTGAAGAAGGATTAGCAAAAATTAACAATCGGTGGTCTGTCGGTTCCACCAGTACAATACAAATTGTTAATATGCTTAAGATACTACGCAACACACACACACACACACACACACACACACACACACACGAGAGAGAGAGAGAGAGAGAGAGAGAGAGGTGTGTCTAAAAATAAATATAAATATATTAATAAAATTTATCTTTATTATTATTTGTTAATATTGCATTTACTGGATTATTTTCTTTTTCAGCATCATCAGTCTCATCACTGCTTGAGTCTGTAACATTCAATTTTGTCATTGTCATCAATTCTAAATTCTTATTCATAAACAAATATGTTAATAGAAAATATCAATAAAATTAGTTATTTTATCATTTGTATGAAGTGTGATAATAGAATCATTATTAACTTCTTGGAAATCATCATCAATAAAGTCTATGCCTTCCACATTTTCAATTAATTCCTCAGGAATACAATGATTAATATTCTTTGTTGTCGTTCTGAAAAATATTTATTGTTACTATTTTTTCAATTTTTATTATAATATAAATAAATAAAATAACGATGAAATTACCTTCTAATATTTTATCTGATAAATTTGATGAAAATAATGTTGGTGCAATTGTCATTAAATTGGGTGCTATTGCGGCAATGTCCGGGTCAATCTGCAGATTTAGGTTCAGGTCCACCACCTGTTGATAAACGTGCATGTTTTTCCTGCGTAAGGACATCTCTCTGTACTGATTTTAAATTACTCTATAATTTTTTAAATTGAACGCTTCTCTGTAATAATTTATTACACATTAAAATGTTAAAAATTAAATTACTTTGAATATAAAAAGTATTTAAAATCTAGCTTAAAAATGAAGCTATCTACCGCAAATATCATATTAGATTTTCTTCAGATATAATTAACATTTTTATTTTAAGCATTTAACATACCTAATTAGAAAAAATTTATAGATTTCTTACCTTACTTGTAACAATAGATATATGCATCGCAAGTTTGATTCCATGCTTCTTCTTTGTCTTTCAAAGTTGTATGTGTGTGAAGTTAGCATCTCACAAATAAACGTCAAATTTTCTTGCATCCAGCATAGTTCTACAGTTCTTGATAAGTTTTAACAATAGTTCCGTCGAATTAACTATTAATATATAGATTTGACGAAATGAGATGCCAACTTCCAAAAACACCTCATAGCATCTCATCATATTTCAAATATTTGGTCACAAAGCAGTAATATTCCGCAGAGTTCTATCGCTTACACACATTCTGTCAATAGTTCTGTCGATAAAACACCATAGAAAATAATTTGTCATTACAAAACGAATTTACGTACAGGTGTAAGATGCGTTTCGATAGTTCTGTCGATTCTAAAACAGTTCTGATATTCTTACATAGTAAAAGAATTAGTTTCTAAAGAGTTCCGAGCGATGGTTGCTTGAAATTATTTACAAAAAATTTTTTACTTGCGCGCGAGATCGCATATACGTGTATAGATGTGAGATGCCGGTCGATTTTCAACAGTTCTGTCGATTTTAAAATAATTCTGATATTCTTACTTAAACAGAGAATTAGTTTCTAAAGAGTTCCGAGCGATGGAGGCTTGAAATTATTTACAAAAAATTTTTTACAGGCGCGCGAGACCGTATATACGTGTATAGATGTGAGATGCCGGTCGATTTTCAACAGTTCTGTCGATTTTAAAATAATTCTGATATTCTTACTTAAACAGAGAATTAGTTTCTAAAGAGTTCCGAGCGATGGAGGCTTGAAATTATTTACAAAAAATTTTTTACTTGCGCGCGAGACCGTATATACGTGTATAGATGTGAGATGCCGGTCGATTTTCAACAGTTCTGTCGATTTTAAAATAATTCTGATATTCTTACTCAAACAGAGAATTATTTTCTAAAGAGTTCCGAGCGATAGAGGCTTGAAATTATTTACAAAAAATTTTTTACTTGCACGCGAGACCGCATATACGCGTATAGATGTGAGATGCTCCAATTGATTTTTGTGCTTGTATTTTAAAATTTTCTATGTATTGCATGTTTTGATATTTTATTTGTCGGATTTTCTTACTCTTGGCACTACCCGGAACCAACGACGGGGACGTGGTAAGATTTGGCTCCATTTTTTTCGTTTTTTTGGGGTTTTAAAAATTTTTTTTTTTTTTTTTTAATTTTTTATATTTTTTTTTTTTTTTTTTTAGTGTTATTTTATGCTTTAATATTTTATAAATTTTTTTAGCTATCTTAAAATTTTGCACTGAAAGATCACGTAATAAATGAAAAATAAAATTCACGTAATAAAACAAAAATAAAATTCACGTAATTAAACAAAAATAAAATTCACGTAATAAAACAAATAAAATCACGTAATAAAACAAATTATAATATAAATTGTACCATTAGCAATAGTAATTTCAGTAAAAATAATAATAGTGATCTTTTCATAAGTCTCATATTTAATCTCAGATCTGAAATGCAAGAGACCTGCTACCTTTGTGTCATCATACAATCCCTTACT